ATTCTCCCAGGTGGACGCACCCTGCCCAGGTCTGGTTTCCTGAGTCTGCTCCAGGTGACCCCTCAAGGAAAGGTGACCATCATGTTCTACAGAGTCCACGGAGAACTGGTTTGGGGGGCAGGGGAGGGAAGGTGACTGGGAAGGTCCTTCCTGAACTGGCTGGAGTCAAGGGCAGGTAGACAAAGGATGCAGGTAGACCAACCAGGGGAAGAAATAAGAAAATGTTTCAGACTAAGGGTGTGAAACTGAACAGTTCAGGGTTACGTCTGGAGCCAACCACCCGGGTTCGAATCCATTCTGCCTCAGCCACTTTCTTCCTGTGGTCTGAAGACTTCTCTTGCCTCTGTGTCCACCTCTTTAAAAAGAGATAGCAGTAGGACTTAACGGACAAGGTTAACGCAGGGAACCCATTGCTAGGTCCAGTCCTCGGTGCTTCATATGCGTATGGGAAAATGAGGGGTGGCTCTTGGCGCTTTGGAAAGAACCAGAGACCCAGGGCCTGGGACAGAATGAGCTGGGCAGGCTAGGGAGTGAGGTGGGCCCTCTGAGTGGCAGTTATGTGCCAGTGCAATTCTTCCCATCCACCCTCTCTCCTCTTCCCAGCCTCCCACACGGTGGGCCCTGCAGGCTGGCCCTGCAGTCACTCCAAGTCTCTCCTCCTCCCACTCACATGGCACCACTAACCGGTTGCTCGAGGGAGGGAGGGAGGGAGGCTGAGTGTGAAGGAGGCTGAGTGTGAAGGAGGCTGAGTGTGAAGGAGGCTGACGCCTCTGCAGAGATTTTTTCTGATCCTCCCAGTTTCAAACATCCTCAACCGCATGGAGGTCCCTGAGATGCCAGCCTCCCGGCCACCTGGCCGTCTCTCCTAGGCTGCCTTTGATGCCTGGAAGCAGTCCCCAAAAAACCTGTCGGAAAGCATTCCCTAATTTTGGCTTCAGGAAGTGTGGTCCCTGCACACAGCAATGAATTGTCCAGATAAGGAACACTTGCCACTGAGTTTAAATGAAAATGGCCCTTACAGAGGTCCGTGGGCTTGCCTGCTCAAAGGAGGAGCATTGCATTTCAGGTCATTTTTCTGGAGAGCAAGGTCAAGATCCTTAGGCTGGGCATTGAAAGCTCTGCCTGTCGGGAGCTTCCCACACATTGTTCCCCCTGCCCTGGAGAGTTCTATTTGTTCTCTTTTTAGTGGGAGTTTCCACTTGTTCCCGCAATATCCTTTCTCTATTAGCCCTTCGTCCTCCTCTCTAATTAAACCCATTTCTCTCTTGCTGCTGCTGCTTCTTCTTCTTCTTCTTTGTGTGTGTTGTCTGTGTTGTGAACTGGCTGAAAGTTGACAGAGCAGATTAGTTTTCCATCCAACCATTCAGACACATGTTTTTTCACGTCATGACGTACAATCCCCACAACGAAACAGCACTGAACCCACTTGATCCCTGTGTCTCCCATTCCCATTGCTTCCTCTTTCCTAACCCTGCTGAACGTCGTCCTCGGATCAACGTTTGTTTGTTTGTATCTCAAATGGTTGGTGAATTTAAGGTGTGCGCACACTCCTTGTAGGAGTGTTCCCTTTACAAGACTATATACTGCTTGGCTGAAAATTGACCCTTGGGAATAAGTTCATTTCCAAACCTGAAGGGTGACTACAGGCCGTAGTCTCAGGGGT